ATATATATATATATATATATATATATATATATATATATATATATATATAATATTTTTTCAGTTAGATTATGCCAAGTTTGTACTTTCTTCGTTTCGCTAATAAGCTTATTTTCTCTATGGCTTTCAGCGTTACTACCTACTAGAAAAATGAATGCGACTGATGTCATGGATATTTTGGATATTGATGAAAGCGGACCAAAGAAAGGTATTCTTGACAAGGAAGCTCTGCTTTCCAAATCGGATAAGGTAGCTGCATTATTCTGTAAGATTATCTGTTTGTGTTCAGAAGAAGTCTTCTAAGACCACCACATTGAAGCGACCGGAGAATATTCCTCGTGAATTATGGGGCTTGCAGTCCACATTGAACTCGTAAGTTGTCCTGCGTGTTTTTTGTTACAATTTCGTTCAAATGTCCAGGCAGCAGATGTATGATCGGTTTCACTGCATCCCAACACGGTGCACACTGCGGCTTTAGTATGACAATAAGGTCAACTAAAATACATTGAAACAGACAAACATCGGACTCAAGCCCTGTATAAACATAGCGTGTTCTGCACTGTGTATCACGCGGAGATGTAGCGAAGTCGTCCTGGACAGAAATCATGCAGTGTTACCAGATCGTCTTTTGTTGTTGAAGGTGATTGTTTTCTCGAGGTTTTATTTGCAGATTTCCCCAAATATGTGATAAGTTCATGTGTTTCGATGGAGTTTAAACCACCTACATGAATACACAGTATAGCCACGTATATTGTACTAATAATCCAGAACCTCCCACACCAGGTTATCCGTTCAAATTCCGAAGCATGATTCGTATGTATATTCCAAAAGGATAAATTTCGATTCACAAACTGACCAATAGGAATCAGATAAATTATAAGTTGTTTGGTAGATGTTACAGTTAATAAAATGAGTGTTTATTACAAATCACGCCTCCGGTTAAAGATAAGAATTCATTTCCATAAATTATGCAATTAGCAGCAGAAGCTATGGTCAGAACTCGTCGGTACCGATTACTAGATACTGTGTTTAATGATAGTAAAGCGCTTCTTGCTTTGGTGCTCCTTGTAAAGCGAGTCTGCTTCTTGTGCATTTAAAGCGGCTTGGAGATGGGAAAGCATTTTACACGGAGCGGAATAACTATCTGGCATAGAACACTTGGGGACGATCGGCGGTCTTGTACAGATTGAGAATTAACCCATCAAAATGGGGCAATTTGTAAATCAGAGAACGACGGACAGAGACAGAAACCTAAACAGTGCGTGAGAGGAAAGAGCTTAGAGTGCGGGAGGGGAGGGAGGTGGGATGGGATAGGGTAAGCGGTGGTTATGAGGATGATGTTAAAATCGCTGAATGCGTTATGCACGTCAACTAGCTTGGGCGACATCCTTAGCTTTTGCAGTATGGTTGTACTCTGCATCTCTCTCTATGTGTTTGTTCATCTAAATGGGTTATTGTTTATCCAGTTTACCCACTCATTTCTCTCCTGAGTTAATCCTCCAACTAACGTGGACGAGTCTTCATTCGTGTCGAATAATCTTGTGATCCGTTGGCGGGTCAATGTGTGACCTCTTGTAGCATCATCTAATCTTTGAATTGTGCCAGCACACGGTAGTTCGAATTTAACACTCTTGTAGTGTCAGTTGTTCAACGGACGTCAATTTTCTGGAAGTTCTCTATCCTGTGATTCTAACCTGTTTACAATCGGATGTCTAACCTTAATCATCATACAATGAATACAGAAATCGTTCCATATATTGAACGATATCACCAGATTTTGTTCTCTCTTGGCGAGTGTTGCTTGTCGAGAATGGAGTGATCCCGATACTGGAAATAAATGTTTGTAAATGAAGACTAAAATACCACCATCAAATTACTGTTTTGCCATGCCAATTCGGATGCATACCTTAAGCAGTGAATTTATTTCCTTGCTTCATCTGTACCCCATCTGTTTTCATATTCCGTATTTTGCACTAATATTGCTTTTAGTGAAATGCCCCCGCTTATGCCCGTGGACGATGCACCTAAATATTGCCAACCGAAAGCTGTAATTGGCGTAGGCAAAGTGCGGCGGTGGCAGTGGACACCTTTCAAAAACCCAGCTCGCACGGTAATTGGTCTCAAATAATAACTTGCATTTCATAAAATGTCCAATTCTTTTTGATGTGGGGAAAATTTTTGTCTACTGTTTCATTTGGTTTGTTCTAACAGAAGATCCGAAGGACAATGCATGTTCTTTATGGTTTTACAAACTATAGACCTCTAACCGTTCGTAGCTTTTAAAATACTACTCTATTCTTCAGCGTCAAGTTTGGGCTGTAGTTAAAAAATTTGGAACTGCATCATGTGAACGTTTCGCGCTTTGAAATATTCCAACTTTCCTCCTGTAGTCAGTAGTGGTCTAATACTGACCGTTTTTAAACCACATTTGTCTCTCACTCTTTGACATGAGAAAAAGTACAAAAGGTACTACTAAACGGTCATTTCGTGACATACCAATCCAAATATTGCTGGAATCTGTAAGGAGATCCGAGCCTTGGGACGTCACAAAGCGCCGGGCTCCGATGGCCTTCCTCCAGCTTTATTTAAAGATGGTGTAATGAAGCTTGTTAGAGAACCCCACGTCCTGTTCTCCAAAGTGTGAAACACTAAACAGGTCCCTTCCTCGTAGAGGGAGTCAATTGTCGCCCCCATTTTTAAAAAGAGCCCGCGAAATGATTGCACCAATCATAGGGGTATAAGCCTGATCCCGATAGCGTCAAAGCTGTTATCTCCCGTCATTTTTCGTAGATTGTACAAAACGCGCGAGGGACATGCCCGCGAGGAGGAGGCTGGGTTTCGTGCCGGTCGTGGCTGCATCGATCAAATTTTCACCCACCGACAGCTGCTAGAGCACCGCCATGCTTACCATAGACCAACGATCATTGTCTTAGACATTGTTCTTAGACATCCGCGTGGCCTTCAATTCTATTGGTAGGACCGCACTATGAAGCTTTTTGTTGTGAAGTGGAGTACCTGAGAAGTATGTCCCGATCCTCAAAGAGTTGTATCGTCATACCTCAGATCGGGTTAGGGCCTATGGGCAGCTTCCACCACCGTTCGCCGTCTCCAGTGGAGTTCGACAAGGCTGCCCTATATCCCCTTTCGTTTTCAACTTCGC